GAGTCAGTCCCTTCACCTCCGCACGCCCTTTGCTCCGTTCCGCCTTCCGTATAACGGGTGTCCGGATTCCCAGGAGGTTTTCCGCCCCCTTTTCAAGCCTCATTGCTATGCACCGCTCGAAACTCCGCTAACGACCTTACACACTCCGCCTCTCTCGGAATCTCCTCGTTTTCGATCTTCCGAAGTCGCCCATTCTCAATCAAAACGTGTCCTTCGACATTTGCGTTGTGAGCTTCTGCGTGAGAAAACTTTGCGTGCGTTCTAGATGAGGGATTTTCTGAACGGGGCGTATGAAAGCTCGCTGCAACGAAAGGCAGGCCTTAAACTGGGTTAACATAGTTGACGAATCGTACATCATACGCTTTTTCCCCGCTTCCGATCGATGAAAATGTTGTTCTGGCAGGAGTCCGTAAACTACCTACCTTCGAGCTAACTCGTGCCCACCGTAAATTCTTCCAGATCAAAAGAAACAACTTTCCTTGATTATTCATATCGGTGTCTTTTTTTTCGCCCCTCCTCTCTCCTATTTTTAAGTAAGTAAAAGAAGGAGACGATTCGATCGCTCGAAAGAAATGCACGCCTCTAATGAGTCTATAAACACGCGAATGTAGCGAAAAGGGGATAAAGTCTATTATACAGAGTCTCTACTCGTTCTACTCGCGCGAGCTCGCCGGAAACACTCGACGAGGACGAGGGTGTCGTCCGGATCGCAAAGTTGGTCTTGTTAGGCCTGCAAAAGGGGATTCGGCTCAACCAACCGTGCCAGCCTTAAGGGCCCTTAGACCACCAGGCACGCTTCGTTTCTCGATTGATTCTTTATTTTACAATCGCCGTAAAGGGGGGCCACGGCACACACGACGCCATGACCCTTCCGTCTGCCAATTTCCGGTTGACCCGTGTCATCATTCTCCGCGCCGCTTACTCGTCTCCGGCGATTTCGGTCATACGTACGCTACGTTTAAACGGACCTACTGTTCCTTTCCAACCGTTCCAAAATATTTTCGGACAAATAGCAGGATTCTGAAACGCTGATATATATTTAAAGGGGTCATTATTTACTGGCTAATATAACGATCGCCTGAATAATCTGTTCTCTTTTAATTCGCAGAAGGAGGAAACTCTACCGAGCCTTCCCGTTCCGGACTTAGAGACGACCATGCAAAAGTACTTGGCGCAGGTCGAAGTGATCGCGCCGCATCATCTGGAAAGGACTCGGAGCTTGGTGAGAGCCTTCCTCTCGGGTCCTGGACCGAAGCTCCAGCAACGTCTCTTGGAACGTAGGCAGAGGACGGATAATTGGGTGAGTCAAAAAATCATCAGTGTCCTCCGAAAAGACGACTCCTCTTCGCGTAACGAAAGAGACATCGGTTCTTACGGTAATCCCTAATACGGTCGTCGCTTTAAAACGAGGGTCGCAAAGGGAAGAAGAAAAAGCCGCGATGTGTCATAGGGTTCGAGCGATCCTCCCCGCGTCTAAGTGGCACAACACCATTTTCGTTTCAAGCCGCGATGCCTCGGGAGAATTTACCTCCGCTGCATCGAGTGTCCCCTCTATCGATCGCGATGAACAACGAATTGAAGGACGGTACGCAAATTTTTCGCAATTCTTCGAGATAAGGTACTTTTCGAGGTAAAAAACTTCCAATCGTTCCCGATTACACAAGCGATGATACATACGAGAAGAATAAACATTCAGCGACGAGAAGCGGAGAGGAGGAACCGACGTGACTTTTGCCATCCCCTCATTCGGATGCTCCCGTGGGATTCCCGGTTCGATGCATGCGCCGGCTATAAGCCGCACCCCCCGAGCCTCCCCCCGTGGCACATAAATAAATAAATAAATGGATTTACGAGGGCTCGGCGCCTCCTCCTCTCTCTCTCTCTCTCTCTCTCGCCGCAGTGAAAAGGGACGGATCCCCCGGACTGTACCGGAACAATGCAAATATTGGCGAAGGAATGAGAAGGGTGACACGGAGTTGCGTTGTACATGCAGTTGCTTAGACGATCGATCGACAAACGTGCGTTTCGCTCCAATTTAAACGCGTTTATTTTGCATTTTGCATCTCAGCGAGAGTCTCCTCACCATTTCGCAGATATCCCGTTCTCTTCCCTGATAATTTATCTAATTCAGCCGGGCCGATCGATTCGACATACATCCGGAGAAATACATTTTCGTTTCTCGTTTCTTTAAGAGCCGGCCCCTCGCACCACTCACGGGCAAACTGTCGCGAAAAGCAATTTTCTCGCCGACTGCGCGAATAGCCGCTCCTTCAATCTTGCTTTCTCAATGTTCGATTCTGATCGATGGGCTGCATTGTCCGGCCGCACCGTCTCGTTGATCTAATCGAAAAGTAAATATATCGTAACGCTAATTAACCCACCTCTCGCTTTATGTATCCACTTTTCTTCTTCGTTAATAGACGGTTTCAAAGCGAGAAAGGTAACGGTCGACAACGGAGTCGCGATGGTGACGGTAAGCTAATATTACGGTGCCCCGCGGCGAACTGGAAAATCTCATTGGGGTCTCCATTATTCATCCGCAAGCCGGGCTCTGCCGACTCTGTTCGTCCGTCTGATCGTCCGTTCGTTGGGTCGCAGTTTCCGCGGCGATAAATTCAATTCGAGTTACAAACGGCCGAAATTAATCCGTTCTTTCTCACGCATCGTTCGCAGTTTACAGGAGCGAGGAGCCGCCCTCCTCTGTGTCCTTCGAGTTGCGCGCAAATTCATACATGTTGAAAAGTGCGCCGTCGTAAAACGGTTAAAGTAGATGTATCCTCTGTAGGACAAGAGGCAGGTGGAAATATCGCGAGCACGTGCAAATGGCCGCGTGTCGGGACTCATCCCCTCGAGAAACTGGGAAAGGAGTGAAATACGGAAAGGAAAAGCGATAAACTTTTACGGCCGTAAGCTCTCGCCTATTCGACGCGGCATCCCATAATTTCACCGGTTACTTTGCAAAATTGCTGCAGAGATCCGTTGCTCAGCCGGATTAAAATATAGAGACTTAATTTCGCCGACTATATCGAGAAAAAATCGTCCCTCTCGATGTGAGGTATGTGCAAGCAACTGAACAACAACAACCAAGAAGAAAGAAAAGTTTTCTCGAAAGGACACGCGAGAAGAGGAAAAGCGCTGATCCCACGAAGCCGAGCGTTTACTCGAACGAGCGGATCGAAAGCTAAACCGAGCCTTTTCGAGAGAGGGATGTCTCCTTCCCTTCCTCCCACACAAAGTACGTAACTTTTCTTATGAATCCCTGCGGACAGGAGAGAACGCGGTTGAAGGAGGGTGGCCGTTTTGCTCGCGATTCTCCAGGCTAGGGAAAGCGTGCGAAAGGAAAATATTTTTCGTCGAAAGACGATACAAAGGATCCTAGTTACGCTTCCCACCGTTTTCTCTCCTTTTTTCTTCTATTTCGGGGCGCGCCGTGTAGGAGGCTGAAACCCCGGCTGAATCGATACTTTCGTCTCTGACAAATTAGAAGTAAAATGAAGTAAATAACGAGATACACGCAGCCACTTGGCGTAATCTTGGCAATTTAAATGTTTGTCCCCGACGCGCGGCTCTCGCACAGGATCGCGTATCGCTCAGCTTAGGGACGTGCTGGTAATCCCTTGTTGAAACAGTGCTAAGCCCTTACGGATTGTCTGCGGGATCGCTACGGCGATACTACGGCAAACGACCGAAGGGCGGCAACCCCTGTTCGATGTTTTCGCTCTCGCGGTTTGTCCTTCACCGGACTCGTTAGTCGCGCTTCGTGGACGTTTCTCGCTTTTCGTTTAATTTCACAAACTAAACTTTCGCAATTTTCATCGGAAAATTATTCGCAAACAGAATTAAATCGTTCGCAACATCCGACGAGAGTATAAGGAAGACGACCGAGCGGAACAAAACGAGAAATAAAAAGAGAACTGATCTGCAACGATGTAGAGGAAGATCCTAGGAATTTCAACTCTCACTTCAAGTGTCTCAGGGACAATATATAGGTAAAGTTGTCAAGTCCTCTCGACGCGACCTGCTCTCATATTCCAGAAGCACTTAAAAGTGCAAATATTTATGGTATCCTTCAGTCTCGGGCGAAAAACAAAACCCTCCTCACGGAGAAGAAGACGAAACACGACAGGAGGGAAACCCGTCCCCCTCTCTCTTTTACCGGCTAGATATACCCCGCGGGATTAACCTTTAATTCTATCCCGTCTCGACAGCCCCTTCTCGTTGCGAAGAAGGGTCCTCCGCAGCGAACGCTCTCCGACACGGACCAGAGACAAGACCGAAATGAAATTTTCGAAATGGGTTGACGAGCTGCTCGGCTTTGGCTGCCTTTGTCACGTAAGGAATAAGAATTGTCTACTTTTTTAGAAAACAATATCACGATTACTCTCTAAATCTCAGCTTGTGAGAGACGAAGGACGCGAAAGAGTCGAGCGAGTACGTGCAAAAAGGCAGGTCAGATGGATCGATGAATCGTTCCGCACGCTCGAGAGAAAGGAAAAGAAGGATACCTTCGTAAAAAGAAACAAACCTTATGACTGCGAGAGCTAATTTTCAGCAGATTCTTCCTTGTTATATGAGAAATTAAGAGTCGGCAACTTGATTTACAGAAATATTGAACAAATTCTTCGTTAAAAGAAGAGACGGTCCGCAACTATATTCTACAGGCAATGTGTTGTTCAATTTGTTCACACGTAGGAATCCTTCCGCAATATTGTGACGACGGCCTGCTTTCGAAATCTCTGCGCTAATTAATTAATTATCCAACGAACCTTTGGGAAAATTCAGACGTTGTTACTTTCACTTTTCCGCGGTACGGAAACGACGAATCGTTCAGTACAGTAACTTCAATGTGTCTAAAGTTGCAGCGTGTTATCCGCGCGGGGAGGTGAAAGAACGGATTGACCCCGAGCGAAGGGAGAGAGAAAGAGAGATGGCTCTCGGTGCAGGCTCGTCCGAGTGCGCAGAATCCAAGGTAACGATTGCGGGAGAGTACCGGAGGGCAACCATAGCGAGCGGGCAGACAGGTAAGGCGAGGTAAGACTCCCGATTTGGGTCAACGCGACCTCGTCCCAAAGGCCGGGCTTGCTAGAGGTTACGACCCGCTTAAAGAGCCGGATCGATTCGCATCGACCGCGAGGTAACCCTCTCATCTCGCGAAAGCACCTGGCCGCGAGATCAAGCGAACTGTGAATTTCTCCGAATCCACCTACCTCTCCCTCGCACGGGGGAGAGAGAAAATTAATTCTTCCGCTCATCGTACGCTCGGTTAATCCCGCGAGGAACTTCTTCATCCCGTTTTCGCCGCGTACACCGTCGAAGTCTCCTCGTCGAGGTCTCCTCCGGCTTCCTATTCACGTGTCGGAATAATCAATGGACGCTGTCGAAGTGAGAGATAAGTCAAATTATTAACTTTTCGCAATCGAAAGTCGAGTATTACATTGCAAAGCATTGTTCCGAAACTATCTATAAACGAACAATTTAGAACATTAATATCGCATGCAATTAACTCGTAGAATTGCCCGCGGGCTGACTTCTCCATGCGATTGCGAGCTTCATGGGAATGCGGCCAATAAAATCGGCACAATATCTGTGTGTCGAAACGGTTTGACGTCGCATTTGCACAATCGCAAAGCGTTGCGAATTGCCTGCAGTTTAATCGCACGTAATAACGTAAGACGAGTTCTGCTCCAAAACAAAGATAAAATTGCACATTCTTAGAAATTGAATCTGCAAATATCATTCTCTCTCCTTGACGCACATTTTCCACGAAAAATACCTTTCTTTGTTTTTTTTCATAGCGACAGATATTACAGTTTTTCTCTCGTAACACATTTCGAGATGAGTATAGTCGCGTTTTCCATTCGCTGATCACGCAACCAGTTTCGCTGCTACCAGTTCGCGAACGTATGTTGCATCGATTTCGGAGAGAGCGTGAGCTTTCGACCTGACGTGTGTTTTCACCGTGGCTAATCAAGTATCGCATTAAACGGGAAACTCGATACAGCAGCGCGTCTGAATTGTCTGAAATACGAGCAGTTTCGCGAGGGTGGCGTTGTAGACTAAATTTCCCATATATATATATATATATATTCATTCCGCGATAGCAAAGCTCCAACGAAAGTAAACAACGAAATGATGGCTTTGAAAAAATTACACAGCTCGTGTGCAGAAAGAATTTCGTTGAGAGATTACGCGCATCAATTTCGAAACATTGTCTCGCGATAATTGGCGTGTGCGACAATGATGACGTAATATCTGTGTGTCGCGCACGACGTGTTAACGGCACGCGGCCGGCCGGGTGGTCGATAACGCCGCGTTTGCGCCGTTGCGAGGAGGACGGCGCGGAGAAAGACGCGGTGGAAGAGAGAGAGAGAGAGAGCTCTCGATGGCAACTCACTCGCCTCGTCGGCTTCTGTTGAAATCTCCGTAACCCAACACCTCCGAATGCCGAACTCGAAGCGATGGGGTTGATGTCTCCCGGAACGCGCGAAACGTTTCGCAAATTTCAGCCGTAGAAACGTTGTTCGATAAGGACTGTGCGACGAAGGTTCGCGGTAACCGGGACGACCGCAAAATTAGCCTCGTCACCGTCATCCCTCGTCCCCGGGATGAAACCGAATTCTCCGCGAGAATTATTCGATTATACCCTTGCGCCCCTTCGACGGTAACACGACGGCGATTAATAATATTGATACAGGATATAAGTGTTTTACACGCTGAAGATGAGCGAATCTCTTCGTAAGATACTCGTTGAAAAGCTATTTCCCGCGTTTCGAACGATAATATTGTGCGAGACGGCAATTTCTGAAGAAGAGAACATTTTCGGCAAGCCTGGAGAACGCATAAACAATGCGGTGAGAAACGATCGAATGCATCGAGATATTGCGCCAGCTGTTTCCTCATCGACGACGACACGGGTCTCGCAATTCTGCTTGCGCTCGTTAAGATTTCGCGTATCGCCATTGCAGGCACACGAAGCTCTAATCTATATTCCGCATGGATGCTCTAATGTACCGATCACGTGCGCCGATGTCTCATTAAGCCATGGAGAACGGCGTGCATCGCGAAACTTTAGACGCCGGTTTCACAAGCGAGTTTAAACTATCGTTTTAGCGAAACTTGAAAAAGTGTCTTCTTTTATCTACCAATCGATGTATATTGATAAATGTGACAAGATTAGAACTGTGCGAAATGTGAGAATGAGAAAAGGGATATCGTAAAGCACAATTGCGAGACACTCTACTTTCACGCATATCCTGGATCGTCGGTCGTGTCAAGCGCTATATTATTCCCGCGAAAGTACTAATTACGCTGAAACAGCGCGTCTACGTGACAACGCTGTATTTTCGGTTATTGTAACTCGTTAAACGGCGGTTATTACACCTCTGACGTGTTCATTAAGAAGAAACAGGAGCTGGCTGCTCGAAAGAAAGTTCCAAATACAGGAAAAGATAGAGAGATGATAGAGAGAGAAATTTATAATATTGAAATTGTAAGACACGCGTTGCGCAGCACGTTGCACGTGTTCATGGCGCAAGCAAGACGGCGAAATATATTCGTTCGCCTCCGAACAGGTCGACCGGCTTTAGCATCGGCGATCAAAGCCACCGGTTCTCACCGGTCGCGTAAGTCTTGTCCACGGTCTGAGCGCAAACTCCCGCACGCGACGCATTCGCTTTGTTAAGCGTGCGTCTCACACGGCATTTGCGTAACTCGTGCAGCGGAGATATCGCAATTGAAAAACACCCCCTGCGAGACAAAATTGGTTTAACATTTTTTTAGCTCCTTACAGAAGTATCGTATCACGCTTCTTCCCTATTGCATGTACTATCCGAGAAATAGCGTTCGTTGTTTCGAGCGCGCCATCATCCAGCTTGTCTTCTACAGCGCACAGAATTCGTATAATCGATAGTCACGCGATGAATACTCTCAAATGTCATAACAATTACGAATCGCAATTTCCTGATCGACAGAAAATGGGAGAGGCGTCCTGTAAAATAAATACAATTCTATTACCATTCCTCGCGCAACCTTACCTTAATCGCCAATTCGGTGATATCAACCAAGGCGTTCTGAAAAAGGATTATGTGTCAAATATAGCCGCGAATAAACGGCAAGTCGAGCTCCCAGGTTCTATCTATAGACGATTCTCTCGAAAGTAAACCTGTGATCCGTTCCGTATCGACGTGGAGACGTGAAACATGCATGCGAACGGTACTCGTCACACTGACCCAGAATCACACGAGAAAAAGAAGAAAACTTCGAGGGATGGTTATTAGCGATACGGTTGCGAGTAAATTAAAGACCGATAATGTGAAATTTTGCAATTCTGATGTTCGCGTCACAAAAGCCATTTTATCATGTCGAGTTTCATGCGTGAGAGCGATGTTCCTTGGTGTATTTTCTCGACACCGTTTACGACGTTTCGGCGAAACTGTCGTAAAATAAGCAGATAATATGTGAGACGAAACACAGATAAATCGCGTTTACAACGTATGATGAGACAGCGTTTGCAGCGTTTTAGCAGCTTGTATGATCTTTCTCTGCTTTCGAAACCTTTCGTCTTAATTCTCGTAATTTCATCTTGTGTGTGCAATTAACAAAAGATTAGGAGGATTTGTAACTCTCGACTGTATCGCAGACGCTCAACTGTTTCGCGCTTTCTTCCCTTTTAACGATTTTACCATGCGACGCGTGACAATAGCAATGAACCAAGTCCATTGTTTAATCCGTATTTAATGACGCGTCGAGGATAATCCCCGTCGAGTGTGAAAAACGACGTCGACATTAAATTGCGTAACGGATTATGCATAATTAAAAAAGCAAATTAGATGATTCACCGATAACGAGCTAACGAGTGATTAGACTTGCCAGGAAGTTTTAATGCACTCTCAGTGCATTCTCGGTGTTATTATCTTTGTTGCGTCTCGCCGAATGATCGTGCGTCGACAGGTTTGGATGTGACTTCCGTCAGGAATCTTTTTGCGAAGATCTTTATTTCGAGCCACTTCCGGGCCGCCTACTTTCACATGACGTTGCGCGGTGTCATTTCAAATAATTAGCACAACTGTTACGTGATCTCTCGCAATCTTTCATCTTATCTTCTGACGCGTAACTTTTTCAGGCATTATAGAACGCATTGCAAATGCACAATTAAATGTGTCAGATAACAAACACTGTGAAACTAATAACTGATACGTTTGTAATTGGATAATTTACAATCATTCATATAGTGTATTTAATATAATAATTGCTTACAGGCGACAGAGTGGTGGCTAAATGACATGTACCTGTCCGTCCCACTGGCTCTACCGATTAATAGCAACCCCGGCGCACTCGTAAAAACGAAGAGATTTGCAAATCAGCGGGAATCTGCGGTATTTCTCGCGCGATTTCTCATCGAGCTTTTGAATTATCAAGAAAAATTGGACAGGTGAGATCCCTCGCTTTTCTTTTTTTCTTGTTCATTTTGGATGATACATTCGAGATAGAAGCGCGCAATTTGTGTTTGACGACGTGCCAATCGACGACGTCGTAAAGGACAAAAAGAAGCCACACTGAAATCAATTTAGAGAGGGCGTACGTCTGCGAGGAAATCCGGGCTGTAAGATCCATAGAAAGTGAACATAAAGAGGAAAGGGAGTCTCCCGCGCGTGGAGAGCGGCTCAAAAGGATCCTCGGTATCCGGCCTGGAATAAGCCGGGGGCTGCGTCCTTTCTTTCGATTCAAAAACTAACGCAAACGCGCGAAAACGGTTCTCTTAATAGCGATCTACTAAACGCGATTGATAAAAAGAAAGTCGTGTCTCTTTCGGTCAGGTGCGAATTGGAAGTCGAACGTGCGAGGTCTAAGGATGGTAAGACCATGCAATCGCTCTGCATGGCGCAACATTACAAAATGTTGCGGATTTATCGACGACCCGGGGTAAACGGCGACGAGCAAATTCTCCTCGATAGAGCGGCCTGCGGCGATCACATCGTCGTTGCGCATCATAACCAGGTAGCGGCTGTAATTATTTTTCCATCTTTAAGATTAAAATCTCATGAAGAAGACGATCGGCATTCATCCAGTTGCGCATTTCCCCTAGTTTTACAGCGTACCGGTGAGAGCGTCGGACCGAGACCGAATCACGGAAGCCGAACTGGTTCAACAGTTACTGATGATTATGGAAACTAAAGCCGACCCTAGGACTCCGCCGGTCGGTATTCTCACGACTGCGAAGAGACCGGTTTGGGCGAAGGCGCGAGAGGAACTGATCAAAAGTGCGTACAATGTCAGCGAATGGGTGGTCGTCGTGTAATTATCCGTGTTCTCCGCTTCTCCAATATTCCCATTAGCTCCCTGCTAACCCGACCTTTCTCAACGGTACGCAAATCGAGTGAACTCGCTGATTAATTAATATCGTAACGAAAATTGCGCTCCTCCTGTAAATAAAACGGCTAATTAAACAGATTTTCATGAATACTGTCGTAAAATGACCCGCAGATGAGCATAATCGGCACAATCTCGAACTGTTGGAACGTTCCCTGTGCATCGTCTGCATCGACGACGACGTACTACCAACCACGTTCAACAATCCCGTGAGGAAAGAGGACCGATGGATCGGCGATCGAGATTACGCGAACGTGCTGCATCACGCCCTTCACGGCGGTGGATCCAGACACTTGGCCGCGAATCGTTGGTACGACAAGACCCTTCAACCTTTTCTCGGCAAGGTGAGCCGACAAATTTCGCGAACAGTAGCTCGTTCGAATAGTCGAACACCTCCTTGTGTCCGCAGGACGGACTGTGGGGATTTACGTACGAGCATTCCGCCGGCGAAGCACCGGCTATCTTTAAAGCTGTCGAGGATATCACGTTGAAGGTGGACTCGATGTCGCCGCCGGATGAGAATCTAGTACCGTCGCATCTTCCGGCGCCGGAGAAGATGGAATGGTATCTCAGCGAACAAAGCCTGAACGACATCAGGGATGCCATGATGAGCATCGACGCGTGAGTAAACTTCCCCCCCCCCCTCCCCCGTGACTTTGTGAAACGATATTTTCCCGTTCAGGCTGGTCGAAGATTTGGACCTGTGTGTTATGCTGTTCGAGGATTACTCGAAGGAATTCGTGAAATCCTGCAAAATTAGTCCCGACGTGTACATACAACTGGCACTCCAGCTTACATATTTCAGGTATTCTCGATCGTTCGTAAACAGCCGTTGAGCTCTCGCCGTAAATGAGTTCTCGCGATGTTCGCAGACTCCACGGGAAATTGGTGGCTACTTACGAGAGCGCCAGCATCCGGAGATTCGCGATGGGTCGCGTTGACTGCATCCGGGCGGCGAGTCCAGAAGCGCTGGCATGGGCGAAGGCGATGTGTCAAGGCGATCCTCAGACCAATCAGTCCAACAACGCCCTGGACGGGAGCCCGAAAAGAGTTCAGTTCACCATTTACAGTGTAACTGCCATTTTTCCTATTTCGCGCGTACGACAAGTCGCTTCTTCCATCTTTTTTTTTTCCAATTCTGCATAGCTTTATTCTTTAAACTGCCGCGTTGTATCGACCGATCGTTCGATCGAATTTTCTTTCCTTTTCTTTTTTCTTTAATTTGTCGGTGTTTCTAAATGATTTAGCTTTCAACGAGGGAGTCGTTCGAAGCAACGAAACCTTGACGATACTTTGTCACGAGAAAGCTGCATATTACGACGATGTTATAAAAATTAGCGCTCTTCGTCGATTGCTCGCGGTACAGCGAAGAACTTATCGTGAAGAACTTGTTCAGAGAGAGGTTGCATTTATTCGTCTGACATTTTTTGCAGTGTTACGAAAAGTTTCTGAGCTGTTGGTCGCATCCGCCTGTAAAAAGGTTTCGATATGATACTACTCTTCTGTTTACCGACTCCACTGCTATGTGCATGTGTTTTTTTCGTTACAAAGATGTAGCAAACACGCTATTCTTGCGCGTCAAATTTTTTCTTCCACATTTAGCCAATCTTCTTGTCATACACCGCGCATAATCACGCTACTGTCTCCTTTCTCGAGCAATCCATTCTCGGCTAAATATTAGGATTGAGAAAGAGACCTACCGTACTCAGCTTGCAAAGACTAGATAACGAACGAAAGAAAAAGTCGAAAAAGAGGAAAGGGCAATCAATTGGACTGTTCTTTCTTCGAGTGTTTGCACGATTCTCTCGGGCAAGTGGGGACGTTTGTTTCCTTTACACGGTCCACCCTCGTTCGAAAAATACCGCGCGCGGTAACAAGCTGTTGTTTCTCATTTACCGTGCTTACAACATTTTCCTTTATATCGCATCCTCTTCATAATTCCCGCGAAGATATTTATATAATTTAGATTTTCGCAAATTGGCGATATTTCCCCAACTTTGTCGCTCTGTCTCATCACGCGCTTATCACAGCGTCTATCTCACGAAATAATAGCGAACGAAGACGCTCGAATCAGCGCGAAATGTTGGACTTTATTGCTTCTCCAGGCGGAAAGAATCAAGGAGCTGTTCGACCTGGCGGTACAGAGACAGACCAAGGAAATGAACGACAACATACATGGACACGGCATCGACAACCACTTGATGGGGTTGCGTTACGCGGCGATGAAGGTCGGCGAACCGATCCCGGATATCTTCACGGACGAAACTTACGCCATCGTTAATCACTTCGCCCTCTCGACGTCGCAGGTCAGATCGCCCTTTCATTTGGTCATTGGTGTCGATTTGATGAAATTCTGTTCAAAATTGTGAATGTATATATCACATCATTATTTATTGAACAAAACGAACAGAATCAATTTGTGACTCGATTGACGCGTTACTACGCCAATGCGCATTTCAAGCGGGCTGTCACGGCAGAATGTAAGTCAAGATCCCGGATGTGCTGAGAGAACTTCTTTATAAGTATTTAATGACTCCGACAGCTCGAGGTCGACACGTTTGCGTGAGATAAGTTACTACGCAAGCAAGGTGCCTTCGCAGAACAGACTGATTAATAATTGTCCGAATTGTTGTAGGAACACGTGAAAATTTGTCTTGCAGATCACGTCGAAGAGCCAGATGATCGCCGGATACGGGCCGGTGGTGCCGGATGGTTACGGATGCGCCTACAATATGCGGCCAAACGGTATCACGTTCTCGGTTTCCGCCTTTCACAGCGACGGCCGAACCAATGCGATGCAATTTGCGCAAACGCTAGAACAGAGTCTGCGAGATATGGCAGCTATGATAAAAAATTCCAAAAAGTGATAAACCAACGCCGCAAACAAAAGGGTGGTTCGACGGCCGAGTAATAACGTATCCTTTTTTTGATCCCGTACGCTGCCGAAAACATTCCACTCTGAGGAACATCCTGTATATAACATCTATTCTCATTTTCATTGTATTGCCATATTAGCGGAAATGTCGCCGCGAAAGTGATTTATTTATTGCGAGGAGGACGTGTAAGGATCAGTTGAATTTCCCTTTGTCGCCGTTGAACGAGCGGAGCGCGACTTTCGAAGCACCCTTGGCATCGAGGAAAGTCGTGACAGATTCGTGTACGCAACGCGGAGAAATTAACTCGCGCAATTTCTTAAATGTATCGCTGGTTTGATATAATATCTCTATAAAGTAGAGGAGAAAAGCGTCGCCGGAGCGCGCAAACTCATCGAAAAATATCTTTAAGATGTTCTCTGTTGTTTGGGCCACTAGAAGTGAGTCTCTCGTTGTCTGTTTTCTAGAGAAATATGTACAAAAAAACGTGCGCACACTCAAACACACGCATGTTAGTCGACTCGCGTTAACGAGAGCGAATTAAATCCTTCAGCGGTAGCCGTCACATAGTGAGCGAGTATGTTAGAGATCGGTCGTTTTAAAACTCTGACCCACTCGTCAAGTTTCTTGAACGCCCCGAGCGCTGGAAAAGATCCATTTGAATCGCGAAAGAAGACTAATGATTTTAACAGAAATACGCGCAGAAAACTTTCTATACGTGTAGAAAAACGTTGGTTACTCTATACCACGTATTTCTCATAGCTACCGATTGAATTTGCCTTCCATTCATTCCGAAGGGCTTTTCCAGCGTCTCGTCTGCCGCAGGAACACTCTAAATGTGGCCAATCGTTGGCGCCCGCACAGTAAACTCTTGTCCAATTCTTAGATAGGTCGACGGATCGCATCGCTCGATTAAAGCCGGTCGATCGTCGACGATATAGCTCTAACTATCGCGCTATTTTTCCGCTTCCTCGAACATGATGCAGGGAGTCAACATAAGTAGTGACTCGGTATTTTGGAAGTAGAAAATGCCCCAAATTTCGTCTTCTCAATGACGCTTTTTCCCTTTCGGCCAATTTTTTTCTCATTTCACGTCCACAACGGGACAAATTATCGTAAAATCGAACGCGATACTTCGAGTTCTAACGGGAAAAAGAAATGCACGAGATCGTGTTCTTCGACTGACTGGTCGATTCGTCCAAAATTTTCGCTCCAGAGAAATATCAATTCTGAACTAGCTGTAAAGAAAGAAAAACCAAGAAATGTGCCATTTTAATTATGACAACACCCTGTAAACTTCTCAAAAATTACCATTTATACAAGAATCTATCACATATCCATGTGTAATACATATCAAATTTACGCGTGTAAAATCATCTTTAAGCTGACTGACTCTCTCATGATGATCCCATTTCACTTTACCCCTTTGGATAAAATGATGAATCCGCGATTTGGAATATTTAGGCGATCTGTTACGCTCTCGCCTTGTCCTCTCGACTAATGGATGTAACGGCAATTATCAAGGAAAATCGCCTCGTTACACAGCTATGAGATAAAACGTTGTTAGGAGCGTCGTTTGGATCAACCCTTTGATTCTAGTCGGATTATTATTATGTATGATGAGAGAAAATTGGAAAATGGAAGGGACTTGGATTTACCATTGTGTGACAAATTTGTTCGTTCTGTTATCACATCTATCATGCAAAGCGAGGAAGTCCAAGATTTTCTTACATCGACTCTTCTACGACGTACCGAGTCTCCCTCATCTGCATTCTCATATCCAAACGTCTCGTTAACGTTATAAATGCGATTATTTTCATATATTCTTTCGTTAATGTTATTTATATTTTATTTGCGAATTTATGCTAGACGCTTTAATTTAAAAATTTTTTATTTTTTACAATCCACTGTTACGGTTACTCATTCGATCGAGTATTCGAAGGATGGTCCGATCTTGATATATTCGTGGAGTTGAATCGGTCTTGGAAAAGATTTACTTGTTCGTTCCTTGTTGAAGCTTCGTCGTAAGTAGAATTTAATCTACGTTACTGTCGTTATCCGATTCGTTTGTAGCGTGCCATAAGTTATCCATTCAAATTTTATGAATGTTCAAAAGTCAATCGATCGTCTAGTGCATTTGCGAGAGGGTGTCTCTTCGTTATTGTTAAAAGAAAAAAAGACGAAACAAAAAAAAATATATATATATATATGTATGTGTGTTTATATGACAAGAGGCGTGCGTTCGAAAGTACATACGTATTCTCACGTATGCAGTGAACAACTGAAATGTGCATTTTTGCTGGCAGCAATTTCGAAGGAAAGTTGCATGGATATTGGAAAAAAAATATATAAATAGCTTGGAAACGGAAAGCAAACTACTGAACTAACACATCTTTTCGCCTAAATATAAAAAAAAAAAAACCCCGATACACCAAGGAAATAAATATTCTTTCGAAGCGGTTCGAAGCGCTTTCCGCGTTTTGGTTGCACCTTGTATACGTAATAATATGTGCAAGTGTTCTCTACTAGGTCTGTAAGAAAGTATCTATTATTACAATTAAGACCACGAAATATAGTTAGAGTACTTATACATATCGCAAAACCATTGTGATCGCACTTTTGCGGCCAAGAATATCACACGCATATCAGGCGAAAGCCAACGTAGCGACGATTTTATTCCGGGATAACGCATATCCTGATAAATCGGTAGGAGAGTGTGCTTACGAATGTAATTACAGTATAACTCGAGTTCTAAGTAGCAGATAGAAATATACTGGTGCGTTAAATTATTCGTTGTTTTCGGGATGATCTCGGCCGTTTTGCGTGAATCGCGATGAAATAACATTCTATGGTTTTTACATGTGGTTTTTGGACGTTGAATTGTGCTGATTGCAAGTTCCGTGATAATCATACTTTAATTTAATCCTCATAGCTCCGAAGGCTTGTGTGAACACAATCGGTGTCTATATATCTAATTACGAATCATGGAAAATATTATTTTCGCGGGCATACACACACACGTTGTGATTATTAGAAGATATATTTTAAACTATGCGTTTTAAGACTGTTAATGTTAGAGCGAATGATAAAGCGCAGTAAGAGCCAAGTAGCGCTATATAGAATATAAAGATATAATATTATAGTAATGTTAATAACATAGGATTCGCGTCACTTCGAACTATGAGGAATTAAATTAAACACCAACATATGTACAAGGTGTTGCATATTGAGCAGTATGTCCGCGCAGCGTGGCCACCCGACATAGTGCTCGATATGTATTGATACGAAAGAAATGACTCTTAAAATCGTCGTGATTCACGCATACGACTCGCAGTGTATGTGCGAGAGTCGCTTTCGTCGTTGTTGAAATGTTTATTAAAAAATTCATAAATATATATATATATATATATATATATATATATATATATTATACTAAGCTCTCGTGTGCGCGATTCACCAGTTTGGAAAAGTTTGAAAAACTTGAAAGGCTACCAAATAGATGCTACTCGAAATGAAAATTACGAAACACGAGAAGAATATCATGCGTCTGACTATTTAATATCACTTGAATATCAGTTTTCGATGATCTCGCGATATATGTACATATATATGTATATTACGATCTTGCCTCGTTATATCTCCTTTTTTTTTTCGTGTCATAAATTTAGTGGTCTTTCTTACTTTCCGTTCTTTCTACAATGTATCATATTGGAAACGTTCTCTTCTATAACACAAAATACATCTCTTTTTATTTTTAATTTCTCATATAATGTATGAGGAAAAGAGAATTAAAATCGACATCTAATTGGGAATGAATTAATAATATAAACGATAAATAAAAGTGAAATCTAGTATATAGAGACCCAGCTATAAACTGGAGAGTAAAGATAGAATTTGAATTTATATATGAGAGATCATATATGTAAAAAAAATAAGTCTATCTATAATTTGGATATTTCGCAGGATATGTTCCTTCCATCCTCTCGAGCAAATTCACTTGTTCCAGTTGGTTTACATTTATAATTGGCAGAAATTTTGGGTCGAAATATATGCTCGATCGCAAATTAATTTTTCTTACGGGAAAGATTGTATGCGAGTAGGAATGAAGGAAGAATTAATCTCGTGCGTAAAACATTCGATAGATAAATACATCCCGCTCGCGCGGAAAGCATACACAGCATACCTCTGCTAAGTAAATGACCCACGTCGAAAGTATGTTGTATCACGCGTGTGTACGTTTCTTCGTGCAGAAATAAATTCCATCGGTACACCAATTGTCGTAGTTTATCTTCTCTCCCAGTTTTTATTTTTATTAAAATAGAATATCTATTCCACAATAACAAGTTGTTCGTTTACGAAGCAATCGCATATTACAGACAGACAACACGCTCAAAGCTGCCGGCAAAGTACCTTCAATGCCTAATCGCGCTAAACATGACCGCCCGTCTTAATCGACGATAAAGTTTCCGATACGTCAAGAATACAGCCCTCGGAATGTGGACAATCTTACCCTCCTCTGGTTCTTCGCACCAGCCGTATACATTTATAAGGAGTATACGCAGGCAAGTAGCTTTGTAGCTCGCAAACTTCTTTTCAGGCAGAACCATTTCTTCTTGAATAATATAGTATCAATCTCTAAATTGGAGCCACATTGCGCCTCTAATTTAGACGAATAATATTCGTACATGTAAATTTTATATACAAAAATACATATTACACGATTTACTCGTACGTTGGGGCAAATTGTGAGAAGAGAAAACGTATTGTAATGCGCTCATATATTCCTTATAAACATCGTCCGACCGGCTTTGTACGTGCAATTATCTATGATAAACTAATCTTGTTTCACTAAAACGTCTTGGATCCTATCATGGCTACCTTAAATCACATATACAACAGGCATAAAAATGACTTCCCAGACTTTACCCCAAAGAGATTTCTTTGGCATCCGATAATTTTCCGGGACGACCTGTATAATTACACCGTAAATAATATAATCACAATATAATTCTATGATATTTCTCCGTTTAGTGCGATCGAAATACACGCGAATGACATCAGTTGAAAGAGCGAGAAAGTCTCTCGTGTGCAGCACAAAAAATTCAAGTGTTCGCTCCAAGTACGAAACGACGAAACGTAGCGAGATCCTCTTCTCAATAACGCGGCATCGTTAAATCAGCATTGACGTCCTCGTACGCTTGCGCGAAGGAATGCGCGAGAAGAGTATTCGCGGTCGCCCTTCTCTTCGGATCATGCTGGAGGCATTTTTTCACGAGATCTGTACCTTCCGCGGAAAGATTCTTCGGAAGTGTCGGCGTCTCTCCCATTCCGACCTTGCACGAAAAATCTCGGGTTAGTGTTCGTCGTCTCTACTCCCCTCTGCGTGTCCACGTACCTTAAACATGATTTGATAATTCGAGTCGAAATCCGACCAGGGTCGTCGGCCGCTCGCCATCTCGACGATACAGCAGCCCACAGACCAGATATCGGCAGCTCTGCCGTGCCCGCTGCCTTCAGACTTCATAAATACTTCGGGCGCCATGTATGCTTTAATGAAAATAATAGGACATTAATCGACGAAAACGTGAAGAAGCCTTGAGTTACCTTGAGTACCAACGAAGCCCTGAAGCTCCCCGGGCATCGTTGTGTGCGCTTTGATTTGCACCGCGCTGCCAAAGTCGCCGAGTTTCAGACAATTGCCTTCGTCCGTTAGAAAAATATTCGCAGCTACGGCAGAGAAAAAGGGGTAGAGACCGCTCGAGAGAGACTACTTACTTCCGGATAATTACTTTTGATATCTCGATGAACTATTCCGTGAGAGTGCAGCGATGCCACGGCCGTGAGAAGTTGATGGGTGTACTTTCTCACCAGAGGTTCCGGCAATCCGTTGCCGCTACCCGCCACTAAGCTTTCCAGCGTACCCTCCGCGCAAAATTCCATAAAAATTAACATTTCCTCCTGGAAAAAGAATTCACGATTCAATTCGGTCGCGACGCGTCGGTATCAGTCGGTAATTCATTCGTCGTACACGATGAATCTCCAGTCCGTAATATCGAACTAAATGTTGATGCTGGATCCCTTCGAAAATCTGTAATTCCTCGGCAACGCGTCTGATCGCTCTGTGATCGCCCGGTTGTAACTGCACCTCCTTCATGGCCAGCAATTCGCCGGTTTGATTGTTGACCACGGTGTACACCTTGCCGAATCTTCCCTGGCCTGAAAGAGAGGCGGCGCGCATTCGATTCGTTTTCAGCAGGCGAGATCGCGCCCCCCCCCCACCTATCAACGCACCTATCTTGATACCACGCTGCCACGTGAAAGTAACCCTCCTCGCCTTGATGCGAACTCGGTCGACCGCCTTCCTGTCGATGGTCTGTCCGATGAGTTCTCGATTCCGTAACCTTTCGTCAAGTTCGTTTTCCACCTTGCTGATGGCGCAGACGACTCTCTCGTGCCTGAGCGTGCCCCGCTCGGCGTTTATTATCACCGCGAGACTTCCGTCCACCGCGCTCTTCCTAGCGGATATTTCGGGCGACTTCAGGCCGGCTTCCCGCGGCTTCTGAGAAAGACTGAAACTCGCGGTTCTACAATGAGACGGCGACGAAGCTCTCGATCGGGGCAGTCTTTTCAAGATCATTCCTAAAACAAGAGACCTTACTGCAGGGAAGAGGGTCTATCGTTCGTTATATCATACTACCTTCAGCCTCTGGCGAGGACGCCGCGACCGACACGGTCCCCACCACGTGAGATATGCAGCGATCCATGCATGCTTTCAATTCCTCAAACTCCCGATCGGTGATGTGTTTCGTGTAGTGCGGCTCGCATACCGTTATCAGAAACTCGAGGCCCTGATTCGCCCATCTGGGCCTCAAGCCGCGGCCACGCTCGCACCGCGTCGTCACGAAGTCCATCCACAGAAGCGAGAACGAGACGAGACCTCGCGCCAGGAGGGCCTTCTCTTCCCGCGCGTACAGCGCGCACATCTCCCTGTGATAATCGAAACCCATCCTGTAAGCCTGATGGAGATTCTCGCGGATCCTCGATCGTATGGCCGCCGACTGGTCGGTCTCGGTGTACGACTGCTCCACCTCGTCGGCCTCCCGCTGGAAGTCCTCGATCACCACTATTATGCGACTCCTCAGATACAAAGCTGTATCCTAAAAGTAAGCAAAACAGACACGTTCTCCGATCACTGAGAGGATGATCGTTACCTTCAGCAAAGTCAACGACTCCTGCAGCTCCTGGTCGAGGTCCGGCCACTTCTCCATGTCGCGTTTCACGCATTTCGCCAGGTTGATGCTCTTGACAACTTTTTCCCGAGCCTCCACGAACATTCCCTGCCACTCACGGCCCACAAACATCAGATGAAATCTGAACCACGTTTCACTGCGGAACAAACAGCTGCAAAGTACCGTTCGGATAAACAAATTAGAAGCCTCTCTTACTTGCATGACAACTCGTCATCCTTCTCTTCCGCGTTTTCCCGAATCTCGCGAGGCCGTTCCACGAGAAATTCGTTGACTTGCTTGATCATTATCCGCGCGATCTCGCTGTAAGAGAAGAGACATTCACCCGACCGTGATCGTATCCGCGCGTGATGTATGCAATTACCAGAATTTCACACCGGCGATCTTGAAGCCGTCGCTTATGTTCCCGGCGATCGACTTTACGAACAACCACTCGTCCATGATCAAATTCTTGTGGAAGCTGTCGTGCTGCACCATGTCCACCCACTGTCGCAAGTAGTCCAAATACACCTCGAACACGGCTCTCAAGCTCTCGTCGAAGTACTTGACGTCCTGCTCGAACAGACCCTCGCGAATGGTCTCGTCGCTGGCGATGGCGGCGCGTGAATGCGCGGCGAACCTGTCTCGATGGATACAGGCGATCCTGATGCCCTCGCGGAGCTCTCGCATCAGTTGCCGGACCGACAACGGGCTCGGTTGCACTGGTTTCTGCTCCAATCGCATTCTCAGAAATTCATGAACCACGTCTAACGGCACACGCGACAGAAATACGAAAGCTGCCCTGAGGAAAGAAGAAACGTGTTTATCGTGCAAATCTCACTACGTGGTACGTAACGTACACTCTCCACCCTGTCCCCGAATCGCAACAAACCCGAGTCGAACCGTCTGGCTGTGCTCCTACCGATTCCTACGAGAAAAAGTGCCTCGAAATATTCTCCGCTTTCTTGCGACATAATATCAAATTCAGTCTCAAACATGGAAATATTCTGAAAGAAAATAATATCCTCCTAGTCGAGCGCTAATATCGGAGCCAGGACTGAAAGTGTTACAATCGAGAGATTCTTCAACAAACACCTGTACGACGGTAAATTCAGCTCCCTCGCCTCGGAGCTCCAAACGCCGTAGCGTCGTAATTCCCTGTCACCTTCGTACTCTTCACTCGTGCTATTATCACAGTCATTTTTCTCTAAAGTTAATCTTGCTTTTCGCAAGACAGATGTGTGCAGTCGATCCAGGAAATTCAGACTCTTCCTGAGACCTCTCGTCTTCAGCACATCCTCAACATACTTTCTGAAGAAGCATTAATCAATTGTGTGATGATAAATCGTGCGCATTAAAGGGGAATTCATCGCAAGTACCTGTAGGCGTGTCGATCGAATTCGGCTAAATAAAAATCGAGCCGCTCGATTCTCTCATCCTCGATGTACGAGCACGAGGTTTCAGGTGTGGGAGGCAGTGACTGTCCGAACGATAAGCCCCCAACCGAAGAATTATTGCTATTATTGCTGTCGGAGGGACTAGAAGTTTCGTCCTGTTGAGGCACCTCAAACCTGACCATGGATTGTCGTTGCTCGATAGAATCGACGGTGTCTGAAGATCGCGAACTACAGATAGGAACGATTATCTCGCTAGAGGTAATCTATTTCGGAAATTTCGTAAAATATGCGTCGAATCAAACATGCCTGATGCCAGAATCGTTCACTTCTTCCTGTTTCTTTTTGCTGTGCAGCATCATGAGCAGTCTACCCAGTATTTGTACTTTGAGCCGATGGTGTTTGGTCATGTTGTACCAAAGGCACATAGCTTTCACCCTGTCGGTGAACTCGGCGCTCTTATACAACGGATAATTTGCGGCAAACGCCTGGGACGACGGATACAATGCCTCCGCAGCTTCCAAGCGGCCCAATAATCCTTCCACCTGCTGCAACGCTTCACCTTGTGCGCGCGTACACGCGCGACAGAACATAGAGAGGCAACCTGGGCACACGCCTAGCTCGACGTTCGAGCTGGGATTTGCGAGTCGATCGCTCGCAATATCGCCAGGGCTGATGCAATTCATCTCGGACGTTCCCGCGATGGGGTCGTATCTGTGATACAGACAGACGAGTCGAGCGAACGATTGGAATACTGTCCAAACTACATTTGCTGCTCACCTGTACTCCATTATTTTCGCAAGCAAACCTTCCACTGCCTCGCGTTGACGGCATAAGTACTCATCCTGCGCCATCGGGCTGCGATCGGCGTGATGGGCCTGCAGTTCTAACCATATCAGATCCTTCAATTCATTCTGCCATCTAGTTTCCTCATGGCTCATCTGACGACGACAATTTCGCTCTGTGCTTCCCTGTGCAAAAAAAAAAACAAAAAAAAATAGCAAATATTTATGCATAACATTGAGAAATATCGCAGTAGTACCGCAAAGTCTGCGAGAAAATAATCTGCGACATCCAGAAAGAAGGGATTATTTATATAAGAAATAACAACAATTTACCAATTTAATTAAGAAGGAGAACGTGTCGTGAAATATCTGTCTTTCTTTGAGACTCTGTGCCCTCGGTGATTGCACGCTTAGATTCTCTTCATTCATCAGCAAACTCTGTTCACAGACTTCCAGCTCCACAGACTTCTTTTCCTCCACATCTACAGGCTTGGATTTCAAGCAACGAAATCTATTTCTGGTCTCGATCTGTGAACAACACGTGTCTTTGATCGCGAGACAAAGGTGATAAAGTGCTTGCGAAAAAGCGAGAAATTAATCAGCCTTCACTTTGTCAAACCTTGATTTGATTCGGGGTCGATACCGCCATATGCTCGTGTTTCTCGGCGTAATTATAAGCAGCCTCCACATCGAGTTTCAAGTCTCTTTCATTGCCGCGCAATAGTTTCAAGCTTCTCTTGTACTTTCTATTACTCTCCTTCGCATCATCCTTTGCTTCATTCTCGCAATCTTTGTCAGCTTTGTCGCACATCTCGTTAAAAATAATAGTATCCAAGGTGTTGCGCCTACGAATGGCTGTCCTTGGTCGAGCTTCCTTCTCAACCGACTTGATATCGCTGTAGGAACAACATAAACTAAATATAACCCACAATTAACCACCATTCGACTTACTTTTGTCACAAATACATTTCTGGAAACGATCTTTACACAGTCCTAATATGATATAATTATTCATACAACATAATCAAACGATACATTGCGATTGATATAATTAGAAAAGTTACGAAACATACCCGTCACCTCTGCCTGTCAGCCTTTGCTTCGTGTGCCTTTTCTTGCGACTGTGACGAGTTCTTGGTGGCGTTTGTCCGTAAATATCAGACATCGCGTGCAGTGACTCTTCGAACTCGTTCGTTGGACTGGACGCTTTACTGAAAGCACGATATATTTTAATCGAACACACGTTTCCGCCGGATGGTGTTTCACTGATTATCGTCGGGGAATTTTCCCGAGGAAGGATTCGAATAAATTGTTCTACACTTGTAACAAATGAAATGTTAATTAAGTAAAAAATTGAAAGAGAATTCACAAACAAACGTTGACAGACGTTGATACTAAAACGATCTCAACACCTGACGTGAAGTTATATGTACACGAATTTATCGCGTCACTTTAGCGAAATGACAAACTACGCTCGCGTTACTAGCAATTACGAACGTCGTAAGATATATTGGAAACAACGCGTGGCGGACACGTGTTACGTCAAAATGCCGCGCTTTAATCGTCGATCGATGGGTTGCATCAGGAGCAGTGTAAACAAAGCTCGATCGGTCCTTGTTTGAACGAGAGGATGCCCACCTGGCGTGACCGGCGTCCTCGTCATCGATGAAGTCGTAGTCGGCGATCGTCGCGGCATGGCTCGGCGTATCCGACATTCTCGACTGCCCGACAAACGCGCACGACGTCCTTCCTTCGTTGCGATTCTTCCCACTACTTGTTCGCTCCCACCATACGCGTATACAACTGATTCCGGCTGACTGTTTAATAACGTCACGATCTATATTGAAAAAAAGGAGTATCAAATCAAATGTTTCATTCAATATATATTCGAAGTTTAGAGTGTCTCGATATGTGTACATTATATATTGGTCCAATTCTGAATTCAACTTTTATCGATAAAAGTGGCATAGAAACCACCTGATTAGCTAAGTACGTTTAAAGTACTTTTATCGATAAGTGAGTTCAGAATATAAACCATATACGTTACTTGCGGCATGTAAACGCACTTTCATACGTATATCAATTATACAATAACACATAGAAGAAATATATGTAAAAATAAGTATAAAAATTGACCATTAAAATATACTTGAGTAATTAATTAATTTTACGCGTTCATATTGAGCACACGTTTTTGTACCGGATTCTTTCTCATACTAGAAATATTATTGGTGCATTTCTAGAAATACACCAATCAAAACGCGGTATTTCTAACACACAGCTGGCAAAAACGCACCGCGAGCTTTATTTGAAAATGAAAGTCTTTTAATTCGTCGTATTAAACGAAAAAAAAAGAGATACGCCTGATCATTCGTTGAATCGTATTACAACTTCGGCTCGTCGTTAAGGTCAATGACAAGTTTCGGTCTACAATAAGTATTTTAAGAAATTGACTAATCACAGTTAATTATTCTCTTCATATTCGACTGTGATTGGTCAATCCTCTAAAGCATCTATTGTAGACCGGGGTTTATATATAAGATCTAACTATGAATACCGGCCTTAACTAACATTGAAGAGCAGTTCTATAATACGTCGTATATCGCTGTCGAACATAGTTCTGATGGTCCAATGAGGAGAACTTATTTTAGAAAAATAAATTTTTCATTGGCTGCGTTCCGACATACGGCGGACATATTGCAGAACAGGCTGTTACCATTGTGGAGGTTTAGAAGGGATAGCCTGGGAAGAATCTAGGCATGCGCCCACTGAGTACTCGGCACAGAGAATAAGAAAGACTCTTTTATTACGTAGAGAAACACTAGAACGATGCAGCTCTAACGGCGGGCTAGTCTCCACTGTTCTCCTGCCGTACAGCGACAAAAGACTAGCCGTGCAGTGACAAAAGACTAGCTCGCCGGCAAGCGAGATAGAGTATAGCCGCCACACCAGGAAATGAAGTAGCGATAATGAGTTTAGTATAAAAAAAAACTTTACATTTTTTTACGTAAAATTAAATATTCTTTCAGATTTTATAAGAAAAAAAGACCGTATTCCATTAAAAATAACAATGTCCTTCATATGACCTCGAAATATTTTTTTTTCTTTTTCTTTTTTAATTTTATCATTATTTGTCCCCCTCGAAATCGTATAACTTTTTTCTGAAACATTTTGCTGTATCTCTCATATTTTTGAAGATATTTTACTGTCAAGTATNTACAAATGCAACGTAAACATCATTAGATATTAGGTTGGGGAAAAAGAAATCCATTATTTTTACGTGAACTGCAAGACTTTATTTAACATGTTTCGGATTGTCCGATTTAGGTCAAATATGCACCGTTTTGTTTTATAATTTGTTGCCATTTTAAAGGTGGCTTCATAATGCCTCTCTCATAGAAGTCTTGGTCCTTATTGGCGAAAAACTTTAGTAATCGATCACAATCTTCTCTTGATGCCAATTTCTTATCACTAAGGAAGTTTTGCAATGCAAGAAAAACATGGTAATCGCTTGGTGCCAGACTATATGGTGGATGCATCAAAACTTTCCAACCAAGCTCCCGGAGTTTCTAGCCAGTCACTATAGACATGTGTGGCCTGGCGTGATGGAACACAACACCTCTCCTGTTGGCCAATTCTGGCCGTTTCTGGTCAATCCCTAGCTTCAAACNAGGTCAAATATGCACCGTTTTGTTTTATAATTTGTTGCCATTTTAAAGGTGGCTTCATAATGCCTCTCTCATAGAAGTCTTGGTCCTTATTGGCGAAAAACTTTAGTAATCGATCACAATCTTCTCTTGATGCCAATTTCTTATCACTAAGGAAGTTTTGCAATGCAAGAAAAACATGGTAATCGCTTGGTGCCAGACTATATGGTGGATGCATCAAAACTTTCCAACCAAGCTCCCGGAGTTTCTAGCCAGTCACTATAGACATGTGTGGCCTGGCGTGATGGAACACAACACCTCTCCTGTTGGCCAATTCTGGCCGTTTCTGGTCAATCCCTAGCTTCAAACGGTCCAGTTGTTGACAGTAGAGATCCAAATTTAATGTTTGGCCATATGGAAGCAACTCATAATAAATGATTCCTTTCCAGTCCCACCAAATGCACAGCAGAACCTTCTTGGCCGTTAGTCTTGGTTTGGCCACCGTTTGAGCTGCTTCACCACGCTTTGACCACGATTGTTTCCGCACAATGTTGTCGACCCATTTCTCATCCCCAGTCATCATCCGTTTAAGAAATGGGTCGATTTCATTCCGTTTGGCCAAGGCTTCGCAGATGGATCCATCATGTTTCTTTGTGTTAATTGGTGTGGCACCCAAACATCGAGCTTCTTTTTGAATCCAGCTTTGTGCGAATGGTTTAAAACTGTTTTATGGTCGATCTTTAGCTCCTGGGCGATGCTACGACTGCTAACATGCCGGTCGATTATTTCTGTGATTTTATCGACACTTTCGACGACGGGCCTACCTGTGCATCTTTAACATCAAAAATACCTGAACGGAATCGACGAAACCAAAATTGCACGTAATTGGCTGTTACAGTATCGGCACCATTCACAATTACAGCCGCCTGGCTTGCATTTTCGCCTTAATCAAAGAAAAACTGTAAAATGTACCGAATTTTCTCTTTGTTGACTTCCATTTTTAACACCCTGTAACTCACAACTGAATGGACCAAACAAAAAACAACAAAAGAATATTTTTAGTGCGAGATGTCACCTTTCCAACGAGCATAAATATGAAATTGTTAATCGATACTTTACGAGATATCGATCACTACAGCCATCTACTGAAAAAATAATGGATTTCTTTTTCCCCAACCTAATATATATGAATGTTATATACGTATATGGTATTATGAGAAAAATTCAAAATATACAAAGTTCGTCTGATGCAATTGTAAATAATTATCACAGCTTTGTTAGACTTTCATTGCTCTTTACTAATATCAAGTACAATGACGGAAAATCATTGTATTACTAATTACCAGATCACTCGTCAGTAAAGAACTTACACAACAGTCATGTCACTTTGTAAAAACCTTATTGTGTATCAGATTCAATCGTTAATTTCACTAGACGTAAAATAATTTTATATCTATAAATATCTCCAACTAGTTTGCGGACTTAGTACCTGCGGTGTTAGACCATATGGAGTGTATAAAAATATGTTATTTTGCTTCTACACTTGTTCTGAAATAAATAGAGTAAAAAATATGAAAATATAATTTATAGCCACTTTTTTATTAAGTTTCGTAACACTGTGCGGCGGAACTCGAAAGCATCTAGTCGGAAGTTGGAAAGATTTATAGTAAATGAAAATGTGGATTCGTGCTGCACGAATCCGGGTCAAATACATATAAATTCAGAGAGGAAATGGTTTTTTCGATTCACAAGCGTTCGATTCAAATAGCTCATTTTCAGCTTATTGATACGGAAGAAACACAATAAAAAAATTAATTTCTTTCTAACACTGATCTAAAAACATATTTTAACGATATCCTGTGATCCATAATTCCAGCATACTCAGAGAACACGCAACGCGCATTCTCCTCGGTAACACGAAGTAACAGGAAGTAAACGAGCATACCCGAACGCTCCTCTCTCGGCTTCATTCGCCGGCAGTCGGGCGTTCTCGTTCATCTAGTGCACCATCTTCCACGATTACATTCTCTCTCTCTTTCTTTTCCGCTCCTACTCTACGTGTAGCATTAGGAAATGGTGGGGAGGAGGCCGTGATACAGCATTAGTAGGTTCAATTGTTGGTATACCGTCACGGTGAGAACGGTCTGGTGCAGAGTGTGTGTGTGTGTATGTGCCTCAAACGGGAATCAAAAGCGCACGCTCTCGGCGCTTGCTTGCGATCGGTGCGCGCATTCAACGCAGGAGCAGAGAGCGTGCAACGTTTCTTTCTCCATCGCGAAAGATCGTCGTTCACTTCGAATTCGAGTGTGGCGCGCGTGCGTACGCGTGTGAGCGACTAATCCGTGTGAAACCGCGCGACGAGTCATCCCGGCGTGAATCGACTCGGATTAGTTTTACTTCACTCAGAAATGTGTTTCGTGGCCATGATCACAAGTAACGCTAGTTTTCCGTGCATTGCGCCGCGCGAGATAAAAAGCACTCGTGCACCCGCGATCCAAGTGAGTGAGTGAGTGAAAAGAGAAGTCGAAGAGAGAAAGGAAAATCAGGAGAGAGAGAGAGAGAGAGCGAATACAAGAGAAAACGCGACTCGTGCTGTGAACTCTGTCAGTGTGTGTGTGCGCGTTGAGATCTCTGGAATCTCTAACACGTCATCGTCTCGGCTTGGTGCTGTTTAAGCGTTTCTCCTTTAGTTTCGGTGTGTTTTCCTGTTGACACGTTGACAGACCACAAGCAGTAGTGACCATGACCGCGGATAATCTGTTCGAGCCGACCAACATCCCAGGGCACCTCGCTCCCACGCCGGAAAGACTGGAAAGACTTCTATCAAAGCAGACCCTCGAGGAACTCTACGAGGTCGAGGAACAGCCTTTCGCACGGTAAGCCACGACTCCGAATAACTTGAAACGGCGCGGGTCGTTTCTGTCTCTGTTTCTCATATCTCTCTCTTTTTCTCCCCCCCCCCCCCCCCCCCCCCCCCCCCCCCCCCCCCCC